ACGGGGCGGGCCGGAGAGTGGGGGGGGGGTGGGGAGGGTGCAGGGGCTTACTTTCGAAAAATGGGAAAGAATGTGAATAAAAACGTTTAGAACTTCAGATTTTCAAGTAGGGTAGGCGATTTCTTCTGAAGTTTAAAAGAATTTTTCAAGTTTTCGAAAGTCGTTTGGCAAAAAACGAAAACTTTCAACAGCAGGAGGGGGTTACCCCTACCCCCGCTCGCGTCGCCTTCGCTTGACTGATATTTCTATAGTAGATATATACAGCTGAGTTACGAATAAACCGAAAGTTTCAGCACAAACAGATCAATCATTTTAGGGATATCGATTTGGTCAATATAGCTATTTTGTTGAATTGCGTGTACATTACAGTGCAATACATTTTTATCACAAACACTATCAACCATGGGCTACCTTTTCATCATATTGAAAGTGTCTTATCATCTAAAATTGTTTTCTTGGTACTATATGTCATTTCCAGAAAGCACGATCATGTACGTAAGGCACGTTAGCTGGATCAGCGTAATGGATTAGCACACGAGTAGTCTCATTTGAAAGAGCACACCTGACTGCATAGAATCCCGTTTTCAAAAGTTGGTGACATTGAACTTTGATGCACCAGATTTGCTTCTCGATTCTAACTACGAAAATTAACGATTTGTTCTCAGATGTTCTAGCTATGTATACCAAATACAAGTTCGCTTTGACAAGCTTCGAAATTTAAAATTTCAACTCACTTGTATGTGTTTGTAAAAAAGGATGAAAAATTTACTTTGAAAACATTTTACTCAAAACATATTCAATAGATCTATTTTTTTTTACACACCGATAATTTAGTTAAGGAGTAGCAAAAATATCTGAAGTTTTTACCATTCACTATTCTTATGGTGACATTTGTATCATAGAGTGAAACCGAGTCGAATAATACGATTCAGTGCGATTGAGCTCAGCCGAATCGAATGGGATTATTTTTGTTATATTTAGTTGCCAATGGTATCTTTATTTATGACTGAGAAAGGAGAAAATATATTTCTAAAAGTAGTAATGCAAAACAAATCAATCGGATTGACGCTAAATTTTAAACACCATTATTTTATATTTTCCTTTCTAGATAACTTAATTTTTGATTCTTCAATAAAACTACAGATTAATCAACCGCAACATAATAATGAAAGACGTATGAGTAAAAAGATGAATGAAAGTGGTGCCGCTCAAAAGTTCGCTTATTACTATTATTTTCACACTAGTGCTGAGTCAATGCTGAATTATGATTCGAGTATTAACTATTATGATATGCACTGTTGCAAATGTAAAACAGAAACAACTGTTTTATTTACCTAGTGTGTACAAGACCTTACAAGGAAGCTTATGTATATTTTATCTCATGTAGTTCCGGTCAGAGTAAAAAGACTGGAAAATGTTATTGAAAATCAAGAAAAATGACCGCGATATAAGTACGGTCGAATGATACTACAGTACCCATGCCTTCTATACCTATTTTTCTATTAGAAAAATAGGTATAGAAGGTATCAATCTTCTGCAGCAATAAGGTTCTTTTTTTTGTTCGGAGAAAGAATATCCTATGGAAGTTAGTTTGCTTGTCAATCATATTTATATAAATGATCATAAAGTTACATATTAAAATTAAATATTTCATGAGAAAATCGACAGATATTGTCTTCATGAGGATAGGACATTGCTAAAAGTTGGATATTGCCTAAAACTACGTAACATCAGCTTTGAAGCTATCTCAACCAAATAAAACCAAACTGAATTCGAATTGAAAGTTTGTCATTTGTTTCGATCTCTGATACAGTTTTAAGTCAGCTAAAGCATATACCATTCGATAGAGCACGCCAAGCTACATCTAATGAGCTAAGCCTCGTCAATATTTCAGATTCGAAAACAATCTTGAGGGCAAAAACTTTTTTAATGTCTTGTATTCTATAGCACATAATCAATATATTCTTGGTTTCACTGATGTTAGTTAGTTTTCATAGAAGTATGCGAATACAGTATGTAATAAGGCTTCCTGAGTTGCATCTGTTTCAATAAATTCTTCAGTTAGCTCAGCGGATAAGCGTGACTCTTTTGAAAAACCTCGTATCAACTGTTAGCAGATCTTCCATTTTAATCAATTCTAACTATCTACTATTGCTCGCCAAAGCCTCGCGCATTTGCACACATACTGTGTTTAATATTACATTCATTCGACAGAAGTCCTTGGTAAACGTCAATGAATTGTATGATACAATACGGTCTTGTAGTTTTGATTCACACAACCCTTAAGCTGAATTCTCCAATTTGGTGGCATAGGGTTTCGCAGAACAGAATATGTCGTGTCAGACCTGGAGATGCATGAAGCTGAATGAATTGAGATCAGCGCATTCCTAGGTGGTACTGATCGGAGAATGTTCTTCTGCCCTATGTGGTCTCTTATGCAGCGCGCCCCCTACTGGTCCAGCATCAATATCTAGTATAGGTGAAATTCAGTGTTTTCTCATAGATCTTAAACCAGCAAGTCCATTATTATATATTATCAACACCGTTTGTTTCCTTCTTTTGAAGTAATGGCATCGTTTTTAGCAGGCGACAACGTAAACAATAATCGGAGTCGGGTGAGGCACATTTTAAAAAAATGGCATTTTTCTTCTTTATTATTATAACTATCTGTTTACGTGATGTTCTTAAACAGCAGCAAATACCAAACATCAGAAAACAAGACATAAATCAACTCCCACACACTGTCGTCGTAAAAGAATTAGTACAACGAAATTTATCAACAAGGTTTGTTTTAAATCAAAAGAAATTGTTAATATGATTTTCTGTGTTCAAGTGGGAACACTCACATCTTGAAAACTCGCTTGAGAAAAAATTTTGATGGGAATAACAAAAAACGGGCACGACAATCCTACGACTTTTTGGCTGTCATTGATTTTGAAGCAACATGTATGAGCAAGCCGCCACCATCACCTCACTGTTACATTCAAGAAATTATTGAATTTCCCATTGTTCTCATCGATGTTGCACAAGAGATGATTGTAAAGAAATATAACATATCCATCTGATTGAACTAGTTCGAATATACTTTATGGTTAATCTACTAGGTCGAAAAATTTCATTCATATTGTCGGCCGATCGTTCATCCAATTTTGTCAGATTTCTGTAAACAACTGACTGGAATCACACAGGTTAGCATTTCTAAAAAGATGGATATTCAATATAATGCATCTACTCATCTTGATGTATATAGGAACAAGTAAACAGTGCCCCTGTGTTTGCTGAGGTATTTGCAAATGCTGAGAAATGGTTAACCGACAGAGAATTATTACCACTTCAAAATCGGAAATGTTTATTTGTCACTGATAGGTAATAAAATGACGCTGCTCGCTAATTTTATTCCGAATAAAAATAGAATGCAATTTATCTATTCATTTTTTATGCACATAGTCCATCAGATTTTAACAGATATTTATCTATGCAATGTGACGTTGCTAATATAGTCTATCCAAGATGGGCATATCAATGGGTTAATATTAAACCAACGTTTTCGAATTTTTATTCGACGAAAGCTGGTCGTAAGTTAGAAACAAATGACTTTTTTCCTATGATTTGTATTTTATTCTTAAAAAAGGTATTCGTAACATGTTGGAACTGTTAGGTCTTCGATTCGAGGGTCATTTACATTCCGGTTTGGATGATGCGACAAATATCGGAAGAATAGCAATTGAATTAATAAAGGTAAATGATCATTAAGGTCATTAGTGATCCCTAAGCAAAGCTTAATTTTGAAAGAAACCAAAATTAAAGTAGTTCTTCTCCCACAGACCTTCACTGCTACGCCTCACTGCAGGAAGCGTCTTCTTATGTAGAATAAGAATTATTACGATTATTTTTCAAATATGGTTTCTCACATTAAAATGCGAAAGAAATATAAAGACGGGTGCGATGGCTACAGATAGAAATTGAAATTTTTGTTTCTCTCCAGGACGGTTGCGTACTGGCGCCGAATGAGTTTTATCAGTCATCGGTAGAAACACATGGAGAACATCAAAGGCCACCAACAATGCGATCGCAATCATTAAAGATGATATCTCCCAACTGTTCAAGATCTCATTCTAGTAATCAACGCTCCTGTGTACCATATGCAATCCAACAGCGAGGAAAGAAAACATACACCGAAAGAAAACAACAACCCGGCTCTTGGCATTCTCGTTTTCCATGTAATCAAGTCGCAACGTCGATCAATATTCCATCACTACTAGATTTTTCTGCTGCACATATATCCAACCCATTATCTGAACGTCGCACTCGATCATCACAGTTGCACCGAGAAAAAAAATAATATGGGTCTCAACGGAATCTTTTAAGTAAATACAACATGAACGATGTATACACATTCGATTGACACTCTTATCAATAGAAAAGAACTGTTTTGAACCTTTAATTTTCCATTTTATTTGCTGAGTCTTCTTTCTACAGGAGAATAATAAAATAACAAAGTGAAAGTTGTTCAGAACATTGAAAAGAGATTTTTTTCCTTTCTCATCGATCAGTTTTTTCACCTTCTATCGAGGTAACCACATTGGTCCTTGAATAAATATACAACAAAGCACACCAGAATGTTTCAAATCGATCGATTTTTCTTGCGTGATGAGACCAGTTTTGGATTCAAAGAAGGTATGAGTGGGTGTCTTTTCTTCTGTCTCACATGCATAACTTTTATTCATAAAAAACAAATTGAGTATTCCATTTATTTTCATCTTTTCTAGAATCAGTTAAGCGAACAGTATAATCACATAACAATATATGTTGTGCACGTTCTTTAAGTGATGATATTAAATTTGGATCAGCTAACCGCCAAGCTTCGATAGCAAAACTATATGAGCGTATATATTTCAAATTCAATTTCAATCGAGCCAAAATAAGAGATTATTTATCCTCTATTCTTCGTTTCAGAATCAATGAAATTTAATCGATCTTCAGAAATATCAGTCAAATATAACACTCTGATGACCACAATGGTCTTGATTTGATCAATGATTATATTTAAAGTTTCGAGGATTTCAATCTTTGAATAAATTATGTACAGATCATATCATCAATGTGGATTATATAAGATGCAGAGAGTCAGATGATGAGAAAAACTCAAGGCTGAAAGTGAGTGTATCCTACGTACCTTTTCGATTAATATTTATTCTGCTTTGATCGTACATGCTCGCTTTTTTCAGCCAGTATGGATATCATCATTATGGGTGGGTGTGGGTGTGGGGGGTGGGTGTGGGTGTGGGTGTGGGTGGGT